TAATGAAAACCTACCTATGAATATCATATTCCATTTCTGCCAATAGATCCTCCTAAATGTTTCACACTGGACCTTTAATGTTGATTAAAGGATAGGATACCCCTGATAGGATGTTGATTGACAGCTGCTCTCACCTGTCCACTAGAGCTGCTGTATCTCTTCAGGTGTTTGATGAACTCTGACCTGGAAGTGTTTCCAACAGCAATCAATGCTGCGCTGCCATTTGCCAAACTGTTACAAACAGGAAGTGGAAGAGTACGGTGAGTAGCAGAAACATAATGGAATCACCTGCAGTGTGGTGCATTCAAGGTCACAACAGCTGACTTCTCAGAAGGATTAACTGCTCGTCATACACGCATCTACCTGGTGTTGGGAGCCAGTCCGTTAGGTGTGTGTGGACTGAGACAGGGGATGGACATGATGCTGATGCTCAGATACAGGCCCTGATTGGTCGTCCAGGACTCCTCCCCTTCTGCACCGACCAATCACAGAGAAAATAGAGTAAACCAAACTGGTTGAGATGGAAATCTGTAACAACTTTGATCTGCAGTCCACAAGTATCCGTCTAAAGACAGACCAGTCTTACCTGACTCTGGGTCTTGGTCCTGGTCCTGGTCTCTGAGAGAGAGGAGATCAAATGTTGTTTTAAACATGACAGACTGTCAACAGAAACCTTCAGTTATTTTGCAAATGATTAAATCAGTAATAAAATCAGTTGTCAGACAACTTATGAAATCAGTTATTAAAGCACAGTGGTGTTAACAAAGTGACAATACAGATTTAAGGCAGGTATCATCAGTGATAAAGAATAATCAAGTCAATAGAGGGTGCACTTGCAGAGACACAGCCACGAAGCTTAATTTAGAGTCAGCAGGGTTAATACATTTATAAAAAACATTTGAAAAAAAGTAATAAGTAATTCTAAAATGTTTTAATATTAGTTATAAAGAAGTTATACAGTATGACATTAACAGCTATTTTGTATTCTCTTCCCTAATGGGTGCTGTTCCAGCCAACACACACTAAATTAACAGTAGCTTCCCCCGGATCGCACCTAAATCCAATACAAGCGGGTGTAAAAAAAGGTGTAGAAGAACGAAAACAGGAAGGGATGACCATTCAGAATAAACCTGCGTGGTGAGAAAAGGGACAGATTAAGTAGCCATGTTGTGCTGTTGGAGCGTGCTTTGCTTTTCTGATTCAACTGATGAGCAAACGTAACAATCTTTGATAGTTGGACTCAAAGCTTAGTGCACCACAAACACAGTGCCTGTTGCCCCACCCAGGTAAAGAATCACCTGTAACCACAGATATAGAGCCCTGAAACAACCGAGGACTGCGCTGTATCACAAAGCGATAATGTTGGACTGAAAACGGCCTTAGATGTACTGTCTACACCTAACACAGTCTGTGTGTGTCTGTGTGTGAGTGTGTGTGTGTTTGTGTGTGCCTTTCTCACTGATTTTGAAACATATTAGTGTTTGACTTCTTCGCTGGTAGAAAAGACAGCTGACAGTCTTCTGGTCTGCGGGAGACAGAGGAGAAAAAGAAATAAGAAACCAGGCCACAACTTTTTGTGACACTTAATCTGAATTCAAGTCAATTAAATTTAAGTAGCCCAGAATCACGTTTTGCAGTTCAACTTAACTATTTATAACTTCAAAACTGTGTGTTCATGTGTTTTATGTGTGTGTATATCTGTTACCTCAGCCTGGCCAGTGTCTTCACCAAGGCGTACTCTCGTCGCCGTGACGATGGCATCCACCTTTTCTTCTCCGCCCGGGCTAAGCTCTGGCCACCAAAGCCAAACATGGCGGAGAACCCGAAACGAACCAACTGACCGAGAGACGAGAAGCTGCACATGTCCACCTGCTGCAGGTGACCTGCAGACAGAGAGAGAGAGAGGGATGGAGGGGACGATAGAGGGGGATGAAAGATCATTCTTAACTATGAATATTTATGAGAAAAACTTAGGACCCTTCACACACTCACACACACATATACAGCCTGTAAGAAGGCCAAGTGGTCGTATGGTGAGAAGCTCATTAATATGCATGAGGCGCAGCACTCCAAATATGTGAGACAGAAAGAGGTCAGGACTGTGTGTGTGTGTGTTAGTATCTATAAACCTCAGTGATATCACACTGCAGTACAGTAACCGGTCCTCTGGTTGTTATTGCTCCACTTTGGCCAATCTCTAGTGGTACATCAGTCCAGATTTACCAGTCCCTGGCTGTAACTGTCCAGTGTGACCAGTCTCTGAAGCAGCAGAATTCAGAAGACATTTACAGCAGATTGAACTATGCTATGATCTCTTTCTTCTGTTCTGTAGGAACATTTAAGCCAACAGAAACAACATTAAAGCTGTTGTCGTGTTGTTCTGTAGCAGGATGTTCTTTAACCAAATGTGTTCAGATTGAAGAAATATCTGATATCTGCACTTGCACTCCAGTCACAGTGAAAACAGTAGCTACACACGAGACAGTGAATGCAGCACAAACCAAAGAAGGAACTGGAATAAAAACATAAATCAACCTCATCAACCTGATTTCACCATCAGGACCATTCAATAAGATGCTCCACACACACACACACACGCACACACGCACGCACGCACACACACACACACACAGCATGCCATCTGGTGTCGTCGGAGTAGTCTGATTAAACTCGTGCACGTACTATGCACAGGCTGGCAGTCGAGCAGTAAGCGCCGCGTCCTCTGTTGTGTCGTGTGCTCCAGCTCTTGGCGGCAATCTCTACGTGGTACATCAGTCCAGATCTACGAATGTCCCTGGCTGGTAGGACTGTCCGGAGCTGTGACCAGTCTCTCGAACCAGCAAGAATTCACCGAACGAATTTACAGCAGATCGCGTGTTGAGAGCTATGCTGATGATCTCTTTCTTCCTCGCTCTGTAGGAACATTTAAGCCCAACGAGAAAGACAGACCATTAAACGCTGTGGTCGTGCTTGTTGCGCTGTAGCAGATGTTCTTATAACCAAAATGTCGTTCAGGAGTGACAAACCATATCCTGATATCTGCCACTGTGCACTCCGGAGTCACAGTGGGACAGAGCGCGCGCGCGGGCGGTAGCTACACACGGAAGACAGTGCAATGCAGCACAAAACCAAAAGAAGCAATGAATTAGACAACATAAATCACGATCCTCATCAACCTGATCGTTCAGCCATCTGAGGCACCACTCAATAAGGATGCTTTGCGCCGACGCGGAGCGAGGATCTACTATGTCACATTCTTTCGTATCACAACACAAGACACACACACACACACGGCGCACACAGCGAGCGGCCACGCGGACACACACCACACACACAGCATGCCCATCCGGCCAGCCATAGCGCTGCTAGTCACACCGTGACGCTGAACTGTTCTCCCCAGCGTGCCTGT